CGCTCGCTCTCGCTGTCTCAATCTTTGTTCGTCGCTCGCTCTCGCTGTCTCAATCTTTGTTCGTCGCTCGCTCTCGCTGTCTCAATCTTTGTTCGTCGCTCGCTCTCGCTGTCTCAATCTTTGTTCGTCGCTCGCTCTCGCTGTCTCAATCTTTGTTCGTCGCTCGCTCTCGCTGTCTCAATCTTTGTTCGTCGCTCGCTCTCGCTGGCTCTCTCAATCTTTGTTCGTCGCCGCTCTCGCCTCTCTCAATCTTTGTTCGTCGCTCGCCTCTCGCTCTCTCAAAATCTTTGTTCGTCGCTCGCTCTCGTCTCTCAATCTTTGTTCGTCGCTCGCTCTCGCTCTCGTCAATCTTTGTTCGTCGCTCGCTCTCGCTCTCTCATCTTGTTCGTCGTCGCTCTCGCTCTCTCAATCTTTATGTTCGTCGGCTCGCCTCGACCTCTGTCCTTTGTTCGTCTCGTCTGCGTGCTCGCACTCTGGCTTCTTTTGCGGCGCGCTCATCGCAGCCTGCTTCTTTTGCGCGCGCTCTCGCACTCTGCTTCTTTTGCGCGCGCTCTCGCACTCTGCTTCTTTTGCGCGCGCTCTCGCACTCTGCTTCTTTTGCGCGCGCTCTCTCTCTCAATCTTTGTTCGTCGCGCGCTCTGGCTCTCTCAATCTTTGTTCGCTCTCGCTCTGGCTCTCTCAATCTTTGTTCGCTCTCGCTCTGGCTCTCTCAATCTTTGTTCGTCGCTCGCTCTGGCTCTCTCAATCTTTGTTCGTCGCTCGCTCTGGCTCTCTCAATCTTTGTTCGTCGCTCGCTCTGGCTCTCTCAAATCTTTGTTCGTCGCTCGCTCTGGCTCTGCCTCGCTCTGCTGCCTCAATTCTTTCGGTCCGCTCGCCTCTCGGCTCTCAATCTGTTCGTCGTCGCTCTCGCTCTCTCAAATCTTGTTTCGTCCTCGCGTCTCGCTCTCTCATCTTTGTTCGTCGCTCGCGCTCGCTCTCTCCATCTTTGTTCGTCCGCTCCGCTCTGCTGCTCTCAATCTTTGTTCGTCGTCTTTGTTCGTCGCTCGCTCTCGCTCTCTCAATCTTTGTTCGTCGCTCGCTCTCGCTCTCTCAATCTTTGTTCGTCGCTCGCTCTCGCTCTCTCAATCTTTGTTCGTCGCTCGCTCTCGCTCTCTCAATCTTTGTTCGTCGCTCGCTCTCGCTCTCTCAATCTTTGTTCGTCGCTCGCTCTCGCTGTCTCAATCTTTGTTCGTCGCTCGCTCTCGCTCTCTCAATCTTTGTTCGGCGCTCGCTCTCGCTCTCTCAATCTTTGTTCNCTCTCTGCCTCTGCTTCTTTCTCTTTCTCTCACTCTCTCTCTGCCTCTGCCTCTGTCTCTTTCTCTTTCTCTCACTCTCTCTCTGCCTCTCACCCTAACCCTAACCCTAACCCTAACCCTCTCTCTCTCTCTCTCTGCCTCGCACTCTGCCACTCTCTCTCTCTCCCTCTCTCTGCCACTCTCTCTCTCTCTCTCTCTCTCTCTCTCTCCCTCTCTCTCTCTCTCTCTCTCTCTCTCTCTCTCTCTCT